AAAGAAAGAAATATCTTGAGGGAGAACAGAGAAGGGACGAGATGAGAGAAGACAGGACTGAATTAGAAATAAAGAAAAAAGAGGCAGCTGATTGGAGAGAAGTGGGTTTTAAAGATGCTGCAGTTGTATTTTACAGTGATTTCTAAGTACAGCGGTACGACCATGCCGTGGTATGATATGGCTGCTTACTAATTACCACTTTAATAATTAGGATATTTTAAAACTATGCTTAATAATTAAATACATTTTTTGGGGGAAAAGGTGCACGTGAAAGGTAAAATCAGGTCACAAAAGGAAAATTCAATTTAAAGACAAAAATGCTGTTTTGCTGCCTGACAGTAGGAGGCAGCGCCACACATTCACATTTCTCTCTACATTTTTAATTATATTTATTTATTGTATTTGTATTAATTATTTGCATTCCTTTATTAGGGATCAACCAATTATCGGCCATTTTTTCTCACATTTTTTACGTCACTGGTGTCATTATTTTTTTTTACTATTTTTCACTATTTTAATTGACTGATAAACACAATAAAAATTAAATGTTTGTTTCTTATGAGATGAATCCCTCTCTGCAGTCCCTGTGGTCTAAAGCAACGTCCACGTCTGACTAGTTGCTTGTCACATGTCACGAGCAGCAGCCAATCGCTGAAAGCTGCTGTTTAGCTCTGGAGCTGTTTAGAAGGTTAGAGACGCTGCTGCAGGTAGAATAAATGCTGTAGTCTTACACAGGCATGTCTAGAAAATATGAAATAATTCTTCTGTAGGTGTTGCAGCAAAAATGTGCTTCTCTGATGGTGGCAGTGGGCCGATGCTATGAGGTTAGCTCAAGAGTCAAGATTAACTTTATTGTCCCAGGCGTGGGAAACTTGTCTTCTCCCACGCTGCAGCCAACACCAGCAGACACAAACAGTTAATAGATAGAATAAATAAATATATGCTGACTCTGAGCCTTCTTCCAGATGGTAACCGCTCACACTCTGAGTACAGAGCTTGTGACGGATCGCTCAGGATCTGGTTGGCCACAGCGGCCTGTTCATAGGTGTTTAGTCGGGAGGGCTGCTCCTGATCACCTATAAGTTTCTCTGCAGTGTGGGCGAGACCCTGAGCCTCTTAGCCTGTGGCTAACGCTTAACTTTAATCAGTTATAGTAATCATTATCAATAAACAAGCCGAGTTATGAAGCAGTGAGAGAACCAAAACCGTCAGAGCAGCTAACAACAAGCTAGAAGTCCCCGTGCTGCTCCGTCAAGCTGAGGCTGCAGATTTGCATGATTTGATATAATTTGATGGTAAAACTGTTGATCATAGACGCTTCAATGTGTGATTGAGTCAACCTCAGTGAAAGTGTTCAGTCCTGATATCTCTTTGAACACACTCATCATTCTCCCTTTATTTCTTCATATCTTTATTTTTACCACAAACACACACACATGTGCAGCAGACACTCAGGGTTGCCGTCATCATCCCTCCACTGTGTGATTATTTGTCGTTGCTGCAACCCTCAAGGTCTGTTTGAGTTAACCTGACGTAATGTGTGCCTTGTTTGGCTGTTTGCTGCCAAAGACGGCAGACAGCCTGCACGCTTCTGCGCCTCCTTTGGCATAACTCATCTATCCTCCTGTATCTGTAATTAATCACTGTCTGGGGCGGCACAAGCGTTCATTCACGCTGCCTCCAAACTGTAACGGAGAGATTTTTTACAGTAGATGTCAGAGCATCTCATAGGTACTGAGGAAAGACAGTCGACAGCCAAGAAAAGGAACAAAAAAAAACAACAATAATGTCCTGAATTCAAAGTCATTCAAGATTTTTTTCCCATCATGATGAATGAGAGGAGAGCTCATGAATTCAGCAGATCTGTCAAACATTGCATTTACATACTAAGTTATTGGACAGAAGCAGGTGAGCGCTAATAAATGCACCTACGTCCTGGTATGAACTCATCCTGTACTCGTGTGGTGCAGCTCTGATTATAACAGCTGCCACACATGCAGCCAAGATATTCTCCTAGTTATGCTACTTTATGGTAACTTATGGGCACCAATTCCAGAAGTGTTACAAAGCACAGCAGTAAATCTCCTTTATGTTCAGCCCATTAGGCCCGGCTACTATCAACAGTAACTCACCGAGGTGTACGTCTGCTGCACTTGTTTCTCATAAAGGTGTCAGAAGGGTAAGCCTTATATCCAAACCATTTCCCCGTTGAAGCCTTTCTGCAGAACCTATTTGAACCTGGCTGTAGCTGTCTGCAGCTTTATGTATGTTCAGAAGAAGTCTGCATCGCAATCAGCGTGCAGAGCCTTTCGTCATTAGACGGTCCAGACCAGCTGCTATGTTTTGTTGAACTGATGCAATTTAAGTTTCCTGCTGTTCTTTCTCTTCTGTAGAACCACACAGAAAGGTTGAGAGGATAAGAAACACACCAGTTGGGTGGAATGAAACAAGCAAGCTGGACTGAAGAAGACCAAAGACACATGGAGGCGATCAAAGATGTCGAGCAGCAGCATCAGCTCAGTACCGGCGGAAACCATTGGTGCCGCGGTGCATTCATCAATAAATTGAAAAAGAAGTGATGTTTATGAAAGACTTGCTGCCAAAAAGTCTTTCAGCGTGAAAAAGCAAAGAGAATCATCTATGCATTAAAACACAAGAACCGGGGAGCAGCAAAACGCCGGCGCTGCAGGCGCTCTGGAACGATGAGACTAAATTTTAAATATCTGGCTCCAGCAGAAAGCACTTTGTTTGCCAAGAAGCTGGAGAGCGACGGGGATCAGCGTATGCAGACATGACGGAGGTTCCTTGTAGGTTTGAGGATACTTTTCTGCAAATGGATTTCCGTTCTCCTTAATAGTGAAAAGTACAGGCGGGTTTCTCATTGCAACCCATATTTATTCAGCCCCAACATACAACCATGAAGAGCCATCTTCAAAGATAACAGAAGCAGATGATGTGGTCAGTCTGTGATTACACAATGACATCCCCACTGAGGACCCTCAAAAACCCGGAAGAATTAATGGAAAAGGACGGCAACACCAAATATTGTTTACTGCAATTTATGTGACGTTACCTGATAATTTAAAACCATTCATGGTAAAATGTACAATAATCTTCCTTTTATAAACAGCCTCCAACCCGTGGACAGCTCTGTGCATCTGGTAACTCACCAACTGCCTCCGACAGCCCGTAGACCCGTTGGCCGTAAGCATCCGTCTTGTCCCAGATGAAGGTGTAGGATAGATTGGGTTGGGCAGGGAACCACTTCTGGAAGAGGCGACCCACCACTGCCACCATCAGGTGAACCTGGATCACCAGGACCAGACACAGAGGTCAGTCAGTGAGACACTGATGATATCAACAGGACAGAAGCTGGTGGTGTTTGGCATCAACAACAGTTATACATTACACATTTTACCTTCATCAGGTTGAACGGTATTGATGACTGTGTCAGTGCAACTTTGAGGACTGGTTTGTATCCTGCAGCTCTGGAGCTCAGGTAGATCAGGTTCAGATCACTTCCTGGTATGGAGGTTTCTTCTTGTAAAACCTACAGAGGGGGGAAAAGGCAAAGAAAGGACATTAGCATTGAACATTTTCCGAAGTGCACCGCAAATTAGAAAGCAGCGCCGTGCTCCTCCTGGCAGCGTTTGCATTGTCAGGGCTCGGAAGAAGAACGACAAGCATGAAACCATAGAGGCCCATCATTAGACCACTGGTAGCTTCCAACTCACCGAACCGAATGGTGGTCTGCAGAGAGTGTAGCGTTTTATTTATAGTTCTATCTGTGTCCACGCCACCTCTTTGAAGACATGCTTAAGTACGTCGTATATCAGGTGCACTTGTAGGTAAAGCTTTGATTCAGAACACAACCCAAACCTACACACACAACACTGACACCTCCTTAACCGACTGATGTCCACGCTGAGGGATCATATCTTGGTTCTACTTCACCGTCGAGCACCGTGTTATCCTCTGATGTCTGTGCTCGTTAGAGAGAAGAAAATAACTAATTCCTGCGCATGCATAAGTGTGCTCCAGTGTGCCCATTACCTATGCAGGTATTCAAGTGTTTTTCTTTTTCATCTGTAACGGAGTGTTTATGCATATGTCCTTGGTGGCGAGCCAGACTAGATCGTAGCTCTGTCAGAAGCAGAGGTCACGCCACATGTCCCAACATCGCTCCTCATGTGGGATCGCCGAGTGCCAGCAGTGGGACGGCAAAGAGTCAGAGGAGGGCAGCAGCACGGAGCAGACGACCAAAAGGCGTTTTCATTTCATCTTCAAACTTTTTCAAGGATGAACAAGTCGTTGGAGCGTTAAAACTTAAAGGACAATTCAGATGATTTGTTTTTTTCTTTCTCACAAAGTTTGTGTTATTTTCATGGTTTTGTGAATCTCTCTGTAGTGACTGTGTGTTCTCAGCAGATCATCTCAGTCACGTTCTGTCAAGGTCGTACACTCAGAGACGCTTTGTGTACGCTATTATGGAGCAGTGAGAGTGCCAAATTAAAAAAACTAAACAAAAACAAACAAAAAAAAAATCAATTAAAGAATAATAAAATAAAAGTGGAAATAAAAAGAAGAATATATAAAATAAAAAATAAATATTGTGGCAATATAAAGCTATATAATCCACATTAATCCATAAAAGAAAAGGCTAATAAAAGTAGAAATATAAAGACAGATAAATAAAATAATAATAATTTATTTTATTATTTTTAAAATCATTTTTAAAAAATGTAAATTTAATTTTTTTATTTTACAATTTTTTATTTTATTATTTTAATTATAATTTTTTAAAAATTCTTTTTTTCTTTTTTTTGTCACTTTAAAAGCAAAGGAAGTATGCACAACTCCCAGTCATATATTTTCCCCAGCCCTAGTAGATGCACAACTACGGCAAGCACAGCAGGTCAAAGCTGAACCAGCGATCTGTGATGTGTCGGCAGGTTGGGTAAATAGTTCAATAATCATCTTGGTTTGTTTACAACCTCCTGAATGCTTCTTGCCCTGTCAAAGTGTGGATCTGCAATGTCTATTTCACTGATGAGAATCATGGGACAAGCTACTGAGCAGCCCTGATATTCCAGCTAATCTGCATAATACAGTTTAACACTAAAGAACTACCGTGTGTTGGTGGCGCCACTGCCTCTGCTGAAGTGCTGGTCCTGGTTTCCTTCTCCAAAGAAACTGCATGTTGGCCCTTTTGTTTGTGTTGAGTAGTTTCCAGGTGCTCTGGTTTCCTACGACGAGCCCAGAGCTGGTGACTTGTGCTTTCTGTGTTAACCCTCTGCTGGACTTGTACAGCTTCACAGGCTGAACATTTGAAATTACATCTAAAGTCTAAATACAACAAACGTGTTTTTACATAAATTTAATCACGTTATATATCTTTGCTGTCTAAAGAGGCCACTGAGGGAAAGAAGCCGAGCAGACGGGGAACACATTCAAGAAAAAGGAGATGGGGAAGAAATATTTGAGAATACAAAAAAGGTCCTCAGGGAATGATCTATTTGGACTGTTCCAGTGTTATACTTTTCAGCTGCACTATTGCCTTTTCATTAGCCGGGCATTTAGCGTTCATTACAGATCCATTACATCCCCTTCAAGAGTGCCCTTTTCCCTGCCCTCCTCTCTAATGGACTCTGCTCCACCAAAAGCTACGAAGCCGCTTTTCCCTTTCGCTCGCTTTTGATCTGCACTCACACGCACGCCGCGCACGAATATGTGCTGGCTGGAGGAACGCGCACGCTTTCGTTTCATGTACACACACACACACACACACACACACACACACACACACACACACACACTTGTCAAATAAAAAATAATTATGGAGCGCTGGTTCAAGGTTGTAAAAATATAAAAACACATATGGAGTTCTGTCATCTGTTTCATTTCCTCTGCGGACTGGTTAACACAATGTGACACATGCACACACACACAC